AATACACAGCCACGCTACATTAGGAGTTGTAAAGGAAAAGGAAATATGCAATCCTGAAATCATGTTTTATGCTAGAACAAAATCAACCACTAGAGGGAGACAAAATCCGAAAATATTTCATTCCAACACCAAGTTGCTGTAGTTGAGATTATGTTTTTGTTTGATAAATCAGTGTTATGTTGGTTGAAAATTAAACAATATGTGGATCTTTATATATGTCATAAACTCAGATTTGACATATCATTACATAATGCAGTTATTTGTAGCACTTTGCATCCAGTATCACGTTTGGAGTGAAAGCTCTGATGGTGTATGTCTTGTTCTTGTTGGGAAGGGAGAACATCGACGTAGGTGAGTGATTGTTTCGAATGGGAAGCTTCCTGTTACATCATGCTGGTCGGTAACCTTTTAGAGTCTGAACGTGACTTTGATGATCCCGTAGAGGCCTTCGACAGGGAGTACCGCCTGGCTTACGACGAACTGAGCGCCAAGCAGCTCAAGTCTTTGCACCGCATCGATCAACCGCCCAGCCCTAGCCTCCAGTGGTTTCTTAAATGCTTTGGTGCCCCCTTCATCTGATCGCCAACAACTGCAGCAAAGACAGGAACCATGGCCCAAGTGCTACAGCAAGGAAAGGAAATTATTTTGAATTGAAATGCGTCCAATTCCCCAATCATGGTTCTACTTCTCCCCCATGACCTAGAAGACACTCCTTTTCTGCTTTTTGACACCCTCATGTTGCCTTTGTTAGAGGCTTAAATGGGACTCTTTGTGTAAATAGGTTGGAAAGCTGCAGTGAATCTTTTGGGTCTAGTTGAGGTATACTTATTCAAAGATGGTGTAAAGGTGGATTAATCACTGTACAGAATGTACTGACTGCCCCTGTGGTGTAGACGTATGTGTGTGTGTAAGTGTGTGTGTTTAATAATACAGTCAGTTAGTTTTCTGTCTTCATCTTTTTGCCCGTTCACTCTAATCTTCGTTAACTGTCCCAAAGCAGACCATGACTGTTCCATTGTGCACTTTCTAAACAACAACAGTAAGTCAAGTTCATATGTCTTTTTGTACATATTGTTAACTAGGGAGTGAGGGGGGGGGGGGGGGGGGGTTTCAACAAGTCCCGATGCCTTGACTGTTTTGTGTGCTCCAAGTCTTAATGAATTGCATAATTTGCTTAACCTTAAATGTGCAGGTTCAGTATGAGGCGTTTTGTCTTTGTAAAAAAAATGATGTGTAGATGTGAGAGGACAGAGGACAATCACAAAAAAAAGTTTCTGTAACATTCCAGATGACCCTCAATAAGTAAGGTCTGAAAAGTATTATAAGTCCCTTCAACAACACTGAACTGATTAAAAGCAGGCATTCAGAGGGAAAAACAATAATCAGTGAGTGGTGTAAAGGCACGGTCAACTCAAACAATAATCCTAGACACATGTCCTGAAGAGGAGGACAACAGATCTCTCTCCCCTTTGGACCGGCAGTTCCCGGAGGATTTCTACCAGAGATGGCAGCAGGTGTCTCCTCCTGTTCCTGATGCTCCTCCTCAGCTGCTGACTGTCCGTCCGACATCCACAGGAAGAAGATCCTACCTCACCTTCAAGATCAGAACATAGTGCTCCCTCAACCTCAGGCCTCAGCTCCTCCACCAAGAGGAGCAGGGAGGAGAGCTACATGGACTCCACTCCATCCACCTCAGGCTCCTACAGAAGAAGAGGATTCTGGGAGTATCCCCCTATGTTTGATGAGGAGACCACAGGCGTATGAAGAGGAGTATGAAGAGGAGAGTGAAGAGGAGAGCTCAGAGGAGAGGGAACAGGCGGCCGAGGGCGAGGGCGAGGAGGACCTCTCATGCTGGTTCAGGGAGGATTCTGGGTATGAGTATGACTGGGTGTGCTACTTCCACTTCAGGCCTCAGCTCCTCCACCAAGAGGAGCAGGGAGGAGAGCTACATGGACTCCACTCCATCCACCCAGAAGAAGAGGATTCTGGGAGTATCCCCCTGTTGTTGATAACAGCGACTCTGACAGCCCTGATTCCTCCAGGAAGTGAAAAGTGGAATCTTTGTGTCTGGCAGGACTTTTCAAAGCCCCAGAAACCTTTTCCACATGTCTGGCAGACAATGTTGTTAGGCAGCCTTAACAGCTGCAAGTACTGTACAAGCATTAGGCACGTTTTTTGATAGTTTAAATCAACTTCTGGAATAGTGCAGACTCAGAGATAGTTACTCTTTCTTACTTTGTTCTGTTGTTGTGTATTTGTCTATGTACGGTCCAGGTGGCTATACCAGACAAAGGTAAGGTAATATTTAATAGCAACAGTTTCTAAAGACGGCTGATAATTCCATGCACAGGTAATTAAACACTGTTTATTGTCATCACTGTGTTGCACGTAACCATGTTTTATAAATAAGGTGTAGGTGACTAGCAGACAGAGGTAAGTTTATACTGTCTAACATTAGGAATCTAATGTTCATATCCCCCTTTTTTTTAATAAAAAGCAAAATGTTGTCTTTAGCCACTTTGTTATACTGTTGTTTGTTTGCTTCTCAGATGTACCAACCCCCCCCCCCCCCCACCACCACCACCACCACACACACACAAGACGAGACGATGGAGAAGGCCAAGACTCGACACCCAAGATTCCCATGGCAACAAAAGACGTGTTTACTCCAGAGCAGATGTGAAGGATGGATGACTACAGGACCAGCAGGAGAGCGATGGGCACCTTGCTGTCACACAGCAAAGTAAGTGCTGATAAACTTAAGATGACTTTATGTGTATTCTTTTTATCATAGGTAAAGACATCATGCAAAGGTTGTAGCACTATGTCCACACTAACACATGTCTCATGAATCTTTTCCACAGGGCAGGACTCCTCTGTGTTTCCAGTGTTCCTGCATGGGGCATCTAACCAATCATTCCTCAGCCTCAGAGACTCACAAGCCCCTCCTACGTCTGCCCCACCAACCCCAACCCCTCAACACCACCCTCTTCACTCTTTCCATTTTTAAAATCTTAAATAAAAAATATTTGTGTGCCATAAATGATCTCGTTTGTTTTAAGTTCATAGTTGACATTTTAATTATAAACTAAGTGAATGTACAGTAAATATTATATGTATAACTTACTTATCTTATATCTAACTGTACATGTTTAGGGTTCATTAAAGCTTGTAATTCTTAATTTGGAGTGGATTTTTCAAACTTTGTGTAATACTTGGTTGCCTAGTTACATAATATGTAAAGTATTTGTGAATTTGTGCTTTTTATATTTAACTCCCTTGTAGATCCACTTGTATTTTTAGAACTGTAATGTGCGTAAACTGTGCCAAGTAAGCTATTAAACAATGCCTGTTTGTGAAGCCATTACACACTGAGGGGGGGGGGGGGAGCAGAAGTTAATATTTCTCACTGTGACGTTTTTGTTTCATCGCTCAGAAATAAAAACACTTTTATTGTTCAAACTTAAAGACTGCTTCAAAAGTTAAACAAAACAGCTATTCATGCACTCACTGCACGCAAACTTTACCTTTGTTAATCTGGGATACAAATATAGGCCATTGTCAGAGTAGAAAGAATGAGTCATGTGTTCCGGTCATGATTTTCAAAATAAAACTTATGTACAGTTTTAGATTTGCTGTGCTTGAACCTGGAAATATGACTTTACAAAAATATCCAGTTATCAAAATCGTTCCTTAGGGGTTTCCTTTAAAGGGAAGTGTCATGCCATGTCCTGGTCTTCATCAGTTAGAGTGAGTTCTGTTGTTGGTCATTGGAAAAGTAATTACACAACTATAGATGTTACAACTAGCGCATTTAGCAATCCCTAAGAAAACTGACAAATTATCCCTGTAAAGGAAATTGTAAGTCATAATTAAAAAATGGATTTAACTATAATTGTGCATTGTAATTAACAGAATATAGAATAGAGTAGACAAGTCTTAATGCCTTTATTTTCATACGCACATCATAACACAAACAAACAATACATTTAATCACATTTCCACACACTAACAGCAACACACAGATGCCCATTCATCATAGTTACACATAGAGGTGGACCTTTGGCTTTTATTGCACCTTACAGGGAAATGATTGCAGACTGAATGCAATTGCCTCATGACTATAAATGCAGGTTGAATATAATGCAACATAAATTATATTGTACATTAAATGCAATTACACCATGAGAAGTATTGCACATGAAAGGGTATTCTGTCATAAACAATATTGCTCATTAAATGTTATTTCACAATGATTAGTCAATTTGCATTAAAGAATTACGCACTATGAATATAATCGAATATTTAATGTCATTGGCCCTAAATCATTTTGCACATTCTATGTTAGCCACCTCGCTCGTACTGCAAAAAGTTAGTCTTAAGGCGTGTGATGCTGTTTTTGGGGGCAATGTTGCTGTCAAGTTCAGTCTGGTTACTAATAAAATATAAGATAAGATAAGATAAGATAATCCTTTATTTATCCCACAATGGGGAAATTTACATTGTTACAGCAGCAAAGATTGCAGACAAAAAGTGAACACAGTACAATTTAAATAAAAAAATAAAAAAATAAATTAAGAATGTACAAGAATTTATACTAAAAAATAGATTTAAAAAAAATAAAATATGACTCAATAAATAAAAAAATAAAAAATATATAAAATATGTTATTAAACTTACAGAAATTTTATTAAAAAAGTGAATACAGTACAATTTAAATACAAAATAAAATAAAATAAAAAACAAAAAATAGACAAAAAAAATAGACACTAAAAAATAGATTAAAAAATAAATAAATAAAATAAAATAAAAAAATATATAAAATATGTTACTAAACTTACAGAAATTACGACATAGGCAAAAACGTAAATAAGTTACACTAATAGGCTACAATCATTTTGGTATAGGCTAACTATAACAAAGAGTTACAAAAAGGTAAACACCTCGCTGTTCGAAACTTATTCTGAAAGCAGCACGTCACACTTCCGGTACCTGTCCCTGTGTGGACTTAACGCAGCACCTTTATAACCTGCATGTTGTAGGTCTGCCGTAACGCAGGCAGCAGAACCGGCCGAACAAAACGTCGTCCCCTCCATCCTCTCTCTCTCTCTCCCTCCTCGGCTCCGACATGGCTCAGAGCCTCGGGGAATTGTTTCTGGTGGTGGTCTTCAAGGCGGTCACGGGTTTCTTGTGTCTGGTGTTTCGGCTTTTCGCTCCTCAGAGATCCAATCTGGTCGGGAAGAAGGTTCCGCCCGTCAGCGACCCGCTGCTGCTGCTGTCGGCGAAGCAGCTGGCCTCAAAGATCCGAAGAAAAGAGGTGAGTGTAGACTACCTGCTCCGAGTGTGTACACTTAGAACAGCTCACTAATGCAGCTCAATGTTTGTTTGGAAGCAGTCAGTGAAGTATTTTGTCTCATAGTTTCAGTCAAAGATAGCGGCACTATGGGGCTGTTCACCTTTAATATTTACAGTCTAGGTTATTACACAAAGTCTCCACAAGCCACAGCGACAGTTCTACTTTAATCTTCTTATCACAACATGATGTTGACACATGAAAAGCAGCTGCGGTGTAACAAACTTCACAGTCTATGGTTTTACAACCCTGAGTGAAGAAAAGTAATCATTAACTTCGTAGAGAAAACACCTGACACACTCAGGTAAGACATCAGTGCATGTTGACTCAGGTTATTCCTTTATATAGCCGAGGCTTCACATGCTGCTCCTGTCTGTCTGATCACCAGTCATCTATTTAAACAGATCTGATAGTTCTGATGTATTGTTGGCTCACTTTTGAAGAACTGTTTAATTCCTGTTGATTTAAAACCTTCTAAAGATTTGTCAGGATTTGGTTTTGTTTTTTGAGTTTCCCCGCTTTATCCCAGTGTTGCTTGTTTCCCTTGTGTGTTCATGGTTTCCTAGTTTTCTGTTTTTATTTTTCTCATTTCTTCAGCTGTCTCTGTGTGTCTTTGGTGTTTCATGATTTGTTTTGTGTTGTCCTCAGTGTTTCTGGTGTTGTTAGTCTCACCTATGTTTGATTACCTCATGTCTAATTAGTCTCTGTGTTCCTTCCCTCGTGTTGTCACTTCATTGTATGTTAGTTGTCAGTTTACTCGTGTCTCCTCGTGGCTCCTTGTTCTAAGTTTTTGTTGGACCTTTGATATTTATTTTAAATAAATCATTTTTGTTTGCTTCTGCACTTGGGTCCAGCTCTTTTTTTTTTTACCTGAACGTGAAAATGTAACCTTTAAGGCTCTTACATTTTATGAACGATAGGTCAGTTGATAAAACATTGTATCAGTATGTAGATACACAGTTACAAAGAATTATAATGAAACATATTTGTTTTCTCCCTTTCCACAGTTTTGGTGAAGTTGTTCAGGTGTCTGAAATGCAGATTCTGCTTTAAATCCAGCGTTCTGTATCAATGAGTAGGACTGTCAATAAGCCGTCTGATAAAATGGGAGCCACCAAATGTTCGGTTTTTATTTTCCAGAAACCTACATTGCAATGATACAGATACAGTACGGCACCCGCAGTACAATGTGCTGTTTCAGAGTGAGAAAGAAGAGCGGTGGGCTGCTGGCCAAGAGTGAAAGTCAAAGCTAGCAAAATGACAGCGTTAGTTTTCTGTTGAAACATTTAATGGTAAACAAAAGTCAGGGTTTCTCTGACACAGGAAGTCAGGAGAGGCTGCCAGCCGAGCTGCCGCTGATGATTGAACATGCTCAGTTTGTTTTAAGGTTAGGATTTCTTCAGTGTACAGAGCCAGGCCGTCAGTGGTACCAATCATTTCAATCCTAAACTAAGTCAGGGGAAGTTTTCAGCAAAAAGAAATGGTTCAGAAAACGTTTAGGACAAACCACTTTAATAATTCACCAGCAAACTTAAACTGTTTGACTTGTTCCCATGCTCTGTGATTCATGTGTGTGTGTGTGTGTGTGTGTGTGTGTGTGTGTGTGTGTGTCCGTCCCTTCTCTCGTATGTCTACATGTTGTGTTCCTGCAGGTTACTAGCGTGGAGGCGGTGCAGGCTTACATCGACAGGATCCAGGAAGTCAACCCTCTTCTGAACGCTGTCATCAAAGACAGGCAAGAAAGTCATGTCAATTATATCATCTACATATCATATTCTATATTTAAAGTTAGACATGTTAGCTGCCACAGTGATATCCGTTAGTATTTAGCATATTTGCAAAAAAAAAAAGAATTGTCAACTTAATCTACTCAACTACTCCAATAGTCCAAAAATGGTTTTACGTGATAGCTGCTGCTTCCAGCTTCTCAAATTTAAAGGTTTTGTTGCATTCTTTTGTTACTAATTCTTATAAACCGATCATATCTAATGTATTATTTATTTGTTGCTAAAAATGTCCTGAAGCTGTGTAACTCTGTACAAAATACACTTTCATCGTCACATCTTTCAGCTTCAACTCTAAATGTAGTACTTTAACCCCTCAGGGGACATTTGTCCTCCAGCCGGGTAACAGTTGAGATGACGGTACAGTGACTCAGGCACTAAAAAAAGGAAGGAAAATCCATCGAAACAAAACCCCTTTCAGTGAGGAAGGACATCTAGAGTATGTTACACTTTCATTATGTGGGCTCATGTCGAGCTGACGCAGGAGATTATCTTGTATCAAATGTATAGCTGCAGTTTAAAGGAGAGGTAACACTATCTCTGCACAAGCTGCCCAGTTTAAATTTATCCCCAGGTCTTCCTCCCATCTGAGCCAAGATCTGTCCAGATCAGGAAAAGTGTGACATGAGAACCCTCATACTGCACATCTAGAAACACTTTGAAATAATGGTCGGTCACTGTGAAATCATTTTTCCACTGATGTTAAGAGTTGGCAGGGTCAGCGTGCACCTTGTGATTGACACTAAATCTTTGGTGTCTTTTCATTCATCTCGATGTATTCAATGATAATCCATGAAGGGGGAGGGTCTCTATATGAAACATCTGTACCAAAAACCTAGATCAAGCAGCGTAGTAATACAATTTAAAGATTCTTTTTTTCAAAGTTCATTTCTCCAAACTGACTCTTGGGAGGTTTTACTTCAACCCTTTTTTTTTAATCATGAGTTTAACTTCAGGTTGTACTTCTTTCTTTCCCTTGGTCCAGGTTCGATGCGGCCCTCCAGGAGGCAGCCATGGTGGACAAGCTGATCGAGGAGGAAACTGGAGGAGAGGAGGTTCTGGAGGACCGACTGCCTCTCCTGGGAGTCCCTCTCTCCGTCAAAGAGTCGTACGCCCTCCAGGGTAAACTTCCAGAAACCTGATCTCCTGTCAGTAACTTGAAACGAGGCCCTTCGCTATGATTACATGCATCAAATAACCCGTAATTAACCTGTATGCACCCGCACCCGGTTATTGTTTACCAGAAACAATGGCACTTTCTTCTAGATGCTTCAGCTTATGATGAACAGTTCATTAAAAACATCCTCATTTCCAGCACGTTAGAATGACTTTCCTGTGTTGCAGGTATGCCTTACACCGGAGGTTTGGCCTCCAGGAAAGATGTGGTGGCCACCGTCGACGCTCCGCCTGTAGCCTGGCTGAAGAGAGCAGGTGCCATCCCGATGGGCGTCACCAACACCGCTGAGATGTGCATGTGGAGCGAGTCCCACAACCGCCTGCACGGCATCACCAACAACCCGTACGACCTGTCGAGGACAGCAGGAGGGAGCTCGGGTTAGAGAATCATTTCCTTTTAATTCCATTTCAAAGTAAAGAAGCGTTTCTTCAGAGCAGCTTATTGTCTGAGTGTCTGTCCTCCTCCACTGACTTTCCTCTTCACAGGATTGTTTTACACGGGTTACATACGTGGAAAAAGTTGCATCAAAGCCTCTGTTAAGGAATAGTAAATCAATGATATACACTTAAAATGAATCATAAAAAAAACATACATGCAAACATGTTTTCATAAATATTAGTATTTTTCACAGAAGCTCAACTTGTAATTTCTTTGAGAATACAACATTTTGTGACAAACATTCCCATCCAGCGGCGTGTCCAGACTTTTTAAAACTGGGGCAACATGTAAACCTTTTTAGCGAGATTCCTTAGTGTTTCAAAAACAAAGATTTATATGTAAAAAGTCACAATTACTGTGGAAATTGAAGACAGTACATTTTATTGTCTATTAAGTCCAATACAAGTAAGAAACAGTGTGGACGAGTTTTTCCTTGCTCTTTCCATAGAAATGTCCAGAGTGTTTATTTAAGACTTCAGTAAAGAGCCAGTGAATTTAAAGGTACCTTTCAGATCCACTAACTTACCTCTGTCTCCTCTGCGCCCCTCAGGTGGGGAGGGCAGTCTTCTGGGCGGGGCGGGCGCTGTCATCGGCGTTGGCTCCGACATCGGCGGCAGCATCCGCATCCCGTCTTTCTTCAACGGGATATTTGGCCATAAACCTACTCCTGGTAAGATAAACGTAATATAAACAAGAATTAAACATAATAAGGCTTCACATAGCAGAGTCTGTGGTGACTTGTCTCGTGTTCCCGCAGGCGTCGTGACCTCTGAGCACCAGAATCCTCCGACCTCTGGCAGACAGGAGGAGTACATCAGTATTGGGCCCATGTGTCGTTACGCCGAGGACCTGCTGCCGATGCTCAAGATCATGGCGGGGCCCAACGCTCACATGTAAGAAACAGGATGGTGTCGTTGGAGGGGGGGGGAGAGTATTGACTGAGTGCCTTTTGTCACCGGAGAGGCTTCCTCTCAGGTAGAAACACTTCTTCTTGTTGCAATATGCAAACGCGGCAGTCATCAGGAGGTTCGTACACATCTATCCTCTATATCAGAATTCTTCTTCAGTGCTACATGGCTGCAATGAAAAGCCTTTTGAAAGAACCTTTACTGTCACTTTGCAGACCCTAATTGTCGTGTTATAACCTAATATCTGTGACATATTGGAATTCCAAATTTAGCCAGATTAGGTTTTGAAGTCAGTTATCTTTGGTTTTTTTGAGCCAAGGCAGAAAAAGACAGCTGTGAAGTAAACGCTGAGCTAAGCAAAATCCAAATCCCCGCTTTCATTCCTCTTAAAGAAACTCTTATGTGCAGTCAAAGTGGAACAGGTGTTTTTCTGTTACAGGACCACGCTTCACTTTCACATGTCAAATGACAGAAGTTTCCTCAAATGTGCTCGAATGTGAAGTCGTGCAAGCTTTTGTCGGGAAAAGGGGAGACTGTGACGGGTATTAGATGCAGAGAAATCAAATTAATAAAAAAAGAAAAAAAAAAAAGGAGTTTGCTCTTGTGTTTACAGGTTGCACTTGGACACAGAGGTTAACCTGAAGAAGTTGCGGTTCTTCACCATCCCTCACGACGGCGGCTCTTTTTTGGTGAACCCGGTCAGCAAAGAGCTCATTGACATTCAGAAGAAGGTGAGTGTGCATTCATTTCCCAAATAACTCGCTATTGAAAGACTTTTTATTTTTTTTTAAAGGCTTGAGACAATGACGTGATGTTCTCCAGGTGGTGGAGCGTCTGGAGGAGGACCTCGGGGTGAAGGTGGAAGAGGTGCATTTCCCGGAGCTCCGCCACAGTATCCAGATGTGGATCGCTTACATGGGTCTCCCTGACGACAATGGAAAGGTAAGTCCGACAGGTAGAGCGCAGCAGAAAGGGAGCGCTGCAGTGATCGTTCCTGGAAGTGAAACAAAGATGAACAAGAGACAGAAAAGTAAACAGACCGTTGTGTCGCCAAGGCCGTCCGTCTAACACGACACGTGAAAGAAAGCAGGCCAGTCTGACTCACAGGCACGGCAACTACTGCTGCCATCGCCAACAAATCATTGACTAATCCGTTTTGCTTCTGGGAACACAAACACACACTCTTCTACATTGTTGTACTTTCTTCAATGACTTGCCAACACTCGTTGAAAGCAGTGTTTTTCCGCGTTTCAAATGTTACTGTGTACTATAATATTCAAACTCTCGGGGCTAAAGCAGGTTGTCATTTCTGCTCATGACGCAGCATACCTCATGTGGTGTCAAAATACTGTATTTGAAACGTGTTCTTTCCTCAGGCTCCGCAGTCATTCGCTGCGCTTATAGGGGAACCAGGTCGACCGGTGAAGCCGTTGTGGGAGCTGCTGAAATGGATGTGTGGGAGATCGAGTCATACCTTTGCCGCTATCGGTACGTACTGTGTATTTTTTAACAAGACTTCATTTTTTTTTGTTGTTAAGAATTGTCTGTTTTAACGGAGCGCCCGTAACCTTGTGGAAAGTGCACGTGCCCCATGTACGGAGGCTATGATCCTCAGGGCAGGCAGCATCCAATCTGACCTGTAACCTCTCCAGAACAGAACTGGGCAGCCTGGCACGTAACACACAGCTGTCATGAATGTTGTAGAATTGTCTAAAAGCTGAAGCTGTACATTTGTTTGTGTGTTTGACGTTTTCAGGTCTCACCCTGCTGGAGATTCACAGCTCCAAGGCGTCTCCGTTCATCATCGAGCAGAAGGAGAAGCTGCAGAAGGCGATGGAGGAGCTGCTGGGGAGTGACGGTGTTTTTCTTTACCCCACCCATCCCAGAGTGGCTCCAATAACACACCACCCACTCTTCAGACCCTTTGACTTTGCCTACACAGGTACGCCTACGGGCTTTTTTGTGTTTTTTGGGCTTTTGTGCCTCTATTGTAGAGACAGGACAGTGGAGAGAGCCAGAAACCAGGGACTGAGAGAGAGTGGGGAACGAGTTGCAGGAGAGGAGACACAGGCTGTGTTTATTTATATTTTACCCATAGAGGTCCACAATCTTAACTCTTGAATCAATCTTATTTCATTTCTTAAGACT